TCAGTCCGACCAAATTTTACGGCCTTTTACATGTTTTTATTATTAATTTTATAACACCCTTTGTATTATGAAAAAATATTCATTTATAGTCCAAAAATTTGAATACGAAAATACCACTTCTGATTGGAAACCCATTCCATTTATGCCTTTGACAACTTATTTTTTTTATTTTAACTACCAGGTTAAGAACTTTCGAAAAAATTCAAAATTAATTATTATTTATTTAGGCATTGATTTGAAATTCAATCACTGTTAATAGAAAATATGTGTATATGTTTATTGTAGACAAGACAAAAATTGTCTGTTCTAAATATACCCTGTTTATTACTAACATCCTCGCCACCACCAACATCACCACCATCCCATCATCATTACTATTTAAATAAAACCACATGCTGCACTTCACCGCCGGGCCTCAATGAATATTTAATTATTTAATTAAAAGAGTAACATTTGGTATTTCAGTCAAATAATGTTAACAAAAATAGAAAATCTAACAGCAACAACATAATACGACAACATTAATGTCTGTTCGAAAAATATAAACCTACATACATTTAAATGCCAATGTGTGTTTGTTGCCACATCCTTTGTTAACAAATGTGTGTTGTGATCGTGCTGCATGTGTGTGTGTTAAACGTACTAATTTTAAATTTACAGATATTTAGATAAGAGTAACCATTTTGTCTGCTATCAGCAGCTAACCATTTGACAAAAAGGGGTTTCGAGTATTTGCCCATCTGTTTGTTATTGGAAATAGAAAATAACAAACAATTAGGTTTACTAACACCCCTCTAGGGGGTGCGAGAGGAATTTGTTGTACGTCTGTTGACTAATTGATAAGATCAATGGATAAGTCATTATTGTAAATACAACAAAAGCTATTCAATTAACTAATGCTAGGACACAATGTACGCCTGCGGATGACTTCATTAGTGTGCTATTAATGTTGTTATTAGGTAGTAATTTAAAGGGACATTTGTTAAACCGGGCGAATGACACATTTGGTTGAATGGTTAGTTACTAAAAATTTTTAAAATTAATTTAAAATATGTATGTATTTTCACATTAACTGAAATATTATTATGGACTCATAAATCATAATTAAAACTTGAAACAAAACAGGTAATGGAGAGGCTAATGTCAGACGGTCAGGCTTTATGATACCATATATATATTCATATATAAACATTTAATCCAAAGCTAACAAATGTGAAATCTAATATTTTTTATAGATGTACCCAACATCATTTCTTTGCTGATATATGAACCAGCTTTAGTCAAGCAATGCTACAGGAATCTATTAACGATTTAATGTCAATCGGGTAGACTTAGGGGCTTTGGTTTGTCATTCATATAAAAGTAGGAAAACTATATATGAGAGATACAAAAAAAATCTGAACAAACTGTCCGCAAGACATTCGGAAATATTTTTTACCAGAAATCCTATATGATCAAACTTTATCAATAACATAATAATAGTGCTGGACCTTTATGTGGAGGCTATATCAAACCTAGACCTTTATAGAAAATAGTTGGCAAAAATGAGTTTTATCCTCTAATATCACACGACGCCAAGCTACAGCCACTACAATAGGAAAATGCGGCTAAAACTCTTATATAGGGACCATGTCAAAACATGGACCTGTATTGATCATTTTCCGTCAGCCTTCACTTACAGCTACACCACAAAATTTACAGCCACAAAAATTCGGCTAAAGCCTTCAAAATACCGAAAATAGGACTGTACCGGTATGGTATGAGGGATATACTAAAACGTAAACAGATATTAGTAATTTTCGTATGAAGATTTGAGACCCCATGAAAACCTGAGAGCCACTTCGGTTGAAGAATGTGCCCAAAATCCCTCGAAATACTAAATAATGGAGTGTACCATTATAAAGATGCTATATTTTTTAGGGACATTTCATACTCAATGAAAATTCAAAATATGTAATTACAGGCAATTTGATTGAAACACGGATGCCAAAACTCCCCAAAATATCGAAATTTGGAATGTGACCATATATGAGGGCTATCGTAAAATGTTAGCCGATATTGATAATGTTTAATACGAAAACTTAGTACTTACTGGGAGTACTTACGGTTATTCAAATAAAATTTACAAGTTTATAAAATATTGACCCTTTTTGGGGAAAGGTATCAGATTAGAGGGCAGACGGATCCCACCTTCAGACTTGCTCTAGGCTTTGTGAAGATAATAGGTTGCGCAAAGTTTAGTTAAGATAGGACCTACCGCCTTCGCCTTCCATTTATAAATATTGAAAATATTGGCCACTTATGTGGGAGTTACCATAAGGAGTCGACCAATGGGTCCCATTTCGGACTTCATTTTATTTTCGTTAAAAAAGTAGGAGTGAACCATCTTCGGACTTGATCTAGGCTTGGTAAAAATAATAGGTTGTACAAATTTACTTTAAATCGGATAGTCCGTTCGCATAACATAATAAAATTAATTGTTAGCACAATTTTGACCATTTTGTGGGAGAGGTACCAGAAGGAATGAACCGTTATTCCCCATCTTCGAACTTTAACCAAGTTTGGTAGAAATATTACGATGTGTAAAGCTTGGATGAAATCGGTTACACACTTCGAGAGTTATCGTGCGCTCCAGCCGGTCAGACATCGACTGCAAATTGTCGGAAAGGGATCTGGTCCAAAGAAACATGGGGTGTAACACAAATATTTCGATGAGGCACATTTTTGCCGTATCAAAGTGTATATACCCGCATTATCCATAAAGCTGAGGGTATAAAAATCGGATGGACTGACGGACAAGGTTAAATTGAATTTTATTCTAATCAAGAATATATGCCTTTTTGGACTTTCAGATGTTGCAAACCGAATGACCAATTTAATATACACTACACCTTTTGGTGGATATTAAAAAATAGAACCAGAAGATGAATCTTTAAATACCATGACAATGCTCGAGCTCTCACATATCGGTTCAAATCAGCGGCGTTCTGGCCGGCCACAGTTTGGAATTGATGGGTTACACACCTTACAGTCCTGACATGCCATCCAATTTCATAATTTTATTCCCCCACATCAAGGAAACATTTCGTGTGAAGGATTTTTGGCATCAGAAGGTTCAATAGAAGCTTCCAAAAATCATGATTTGGAGGTGTCTCAATCAGAGGGGAAACGGGTAAATGACTAAGGGTAATAGGCTATGACATTCCATTCCCTTGAAAATTAAGTTTGAAATTTCAAATTGTTGGCCCTGTGGAGGTGGTACCAATAGGTATGGGCAAAAGGTTTCATTCGGACTTGGTTTGGCCCCATCTTTGAACCTGATTTAGGTTAGGTAAAAATATTATGCTATATAAAATATGGACATCATAATCGTTTTTCAAGCTTAAATCTAATTCAAAGATGCGGAAATATATGACTCTCCCACTAAGTGTTCAAAATTTCGAAAATGTTTAATTTCAATATCAAATCACCACAGAGCTCGCAATTTTTAATATTGCTCACGTTGCTAAGACTCCCATGGTGTATTCTATTGAACATGGTTCACATTTTTTTAGCTCCCATATACCGGTACCATCAATATTCCGTATCCCAAGCAAAAATGATAAACACTGGATCTATTTTGCAAATTTTAGACACATTTCCAACAGAATTGGATCCAATTTAAAAATTTGGCTTAATATTAGGTGACCAAATTTTCTACTAAAAATAGACCCATGGTTACTTTTGAGAATATGCATAGAATCACTTCCTGAGTCGATTTATGCATGTCCATCTGTCCGTCCGTCCGTCCGTCCGTCCGTCTGTCCATGTTAAATTGTAAAAAAGTGCAGGTCGCATTTATTATCCGAATTGGATGAAATTTGGCACAAGTCACTTATTTGGCCCAAGGACGAACCCTATTGAAATTGGGAAAAAGCGGTTCAGATTTATATATAGCTCCCATATATATTTTCGTCCGATTTACGATTTGCACGAAATTTGGCACAGCGTAATGAATTAGGTATAGAATGATGTGTGCTAAGTTTCGTGAAAATCGGTTCAGATTTAGATACAGCTCACGTATTTAGTTTCGTCCGATTTTATGTAAATGGAACACCAAAGTCCCTATACATCTTTCGATTTGCATGAAATTTTGCACAGGCTACTGAATTAAGCCCAGAATTACGTGTGCCAAGTTTCGTGAAAATCGGTTCAGATTTAGATATAGCTCCCACATATAGATTATATTTTTAACAACGCGGCATACCGAATAGCGTGTATCAATTTTGCTATAAATCGTTTTCCATAAATTTTCCCCATGTTAGGCAGACGGCTCTAAATCTGCTCGAATGAAATTAAAGTTAGGATAGGTTGGAGAAAGAGGGAACATAGACATGCAATTGTTAGGACATATATGTATAATATACCCAAAGTGGTGAAGGATATCATATAGTCGGCCCAGTCCGACCTTACTACTTTCCTTACAGTTTTTTTTTTTTATTTTTTTATATCTTATATTTTTTTTCAGCATCTTCAATTTTACCTGGAGCTGTGTTTGTCATTAGAATACAAAATTTCACATTAATTCTGATATCCAATTTCTGGCCTCCAACCCAAAAAATAAAAATAAATAAAAAACCAACATAATGGACTTATGAAGTCATTCTAAACATTAAGGCACCCACACCTATACACATACATCTATATCATAAATAAACCATAAAGTCTTGCCGAGGTGGTTGATTTCATTTTAATTTAGCCTACAACGAAGAAAAAAATCACGCTTAAAAGCTTAAGGTATTATAAAATTCGACGCTAATGCCTCCACGTTATAAAATATAATAAATCCAACCCAGACGCCATGTAATATTTTCTAATAACACACATTTTCCATCCATCCTCCAATACACCCAACCAAACAAACATTAATGAAGAGCAAGAAAATGAAGACGACACAAAAATGCAAAACCAAACAAAAAAAAAAAAAAGGAGAAACGAAAAAACGATGGTAATAAACTTACCTCGGTTAGAAAATCATCTGTAAATGAATGTACCAAATGTGTCTCTGTGGTGTCGGGACTAACATCCGCACCCGTGATGCTGTTACAAGGATTATTGCCGTGGCCAAGGCTGTTGTTTGGCATATTACTACGGCGGATATTATGATTGCTGGGATTGTTGTTAGCATTTAGACGACTACGATTATCCGGTCGCGACAACAACGCTGCCGAGGACGAGGAGGAGGACGACGATGATGATATGCTGGCAAAACGACCCTGTGTAATTGTTGACACATTTGCTTTTAATGTCTCCAGTACCGGCTTGAAAATATTCAAATGTTTAGCGCGTTGACGTGATGTGGCGGCATGACGATGTAGCCGTCGTTGCTGCCTCTGTTGGGCCTTCGAATAGAGTGAGTCATAGGAGGGTGGTTCCTTGGGCTCAGCTGGTGCGACAGACACGGCCAAGGTAGTTGTGGCTGTTGATGAGCCAATACCAGATGGGCTCAACACAGTCGCTTCAGCTAATGGTGATGAGCACAACGACGAAGAGGATATTGGTTGTGGGGGTGGTAGTGTTGGAGTAGCATTATTACTATTTGCAGAGTGCGACGTTGGCCACCATTTGTTTAGACCCGTTATGCGACCATAGGAAGTGAAAGAAAAACGATTTTTATGATTTTCTAACGATGCTGCAAATGAGGAACTCATATCGTTGGCTAATGTACTGTCATTAGTCGTGGACAGGACTGGAACAGGAGCAGGAGTGTAGCATGGAGTGTGTGGTGCATCATTGACAGCTACCGCAATAACGGTGGAATTGGAACTGGCCAGTATATCATCGGCCGCTGCGGCCATGGTAGTTAAGTGACCGTTACCGGCATCCAAAATAAGACTGGACAAAGGCACTAACGGTGTAGTTACAGATGCATCACATATATCTTCGGCTGTGGCCGCATAATAAGTACTTGTTGCTACGCCCGGCGGCAGTGTTACAACTTGATGTGTCGGTGTCGGTATGTAGGCCACAATGTTTGCTGTGGCCGGCAGCATCAACGGTGTTGCTGTGGGCGTGGGAGACGGTGGCGGTATTGTCGGTATGCTGGTATAATCATATTGACTTTTGGATTTTCTCAGCTGTTGGTGACGATTCAATAGCTCATCTTCATCATCCGAAGAGGTATCCGTAATGGAGGCACGCTCATATGGGGTCCACAACATGGAAGACAAGGCCTCTTCGACGTCAGGTGGCCGACGCTGTTGATGTTGGGTATGATGACCATAAGTTGTGGCTCGTTTTGTGGTCATATTGTGGTGGTATCGACGGACAGGTTGCTAGTGTTGGTATTGATGGCGATGACGATGGTGGTGGTGGTGATGGTGCGGCTTCTGTTCTTGTTGTTGACAACACTAGGGACTGTGGTGGTTGTGACAATTGTTGGACTTGATTGGATATTTGGACAGTGATGGATATTCGTCTTTGTGGTTTATCATCAAACTGAGACATTTCACTATTTTAAATATTGATTTCTTAGGAATTTCATTTGTCTTCGGTTGTTGGAGATTTCCTGACGAAATTGCGGCTTCCTTAGGATTTGTTTACATTCTTTTTATGTTGATATGAATAAATATTAGACATTTTCAAAAATACAAATATTCTGATCGATGATTTTCCCCTCGTTATGAAAATATTTGCCATCCGAAAATTGTTTTTTTTTTTTTTTTTTTTGTGTAATTCAATATGTGTGACGTTTTGGGAAAAGGGTATTTGACATTTTTTTAGATTTCCAGCGGCAAAGAGAATTCGATGACCTGTAAAGAAGAAGCCAGAAATTGAAAATTTATAAAAATCCTTGAATGAGTTATGCGTTCATATGAAAATTGTTATTGACATTTCTGTTCGTTTCGTCGGTTTGTTTGTTTTGGGATAAAAGTATTAAAACAAGAAGGGAAAAACAAAAAATAAGGGTAGGTAATATGATGATGATATCCATGGGGGTTACTTAAAGGAGATTACAGACTCAAACTTGGGGTGAGATACTATACATACAGACATACTACATATGTTTTAAGTGACATTGATGGTCTTGTAAGAAAAAAAAAACAAATTGTTTACATATTTGTTCTCTTATATATGTATATCGAATAACAAGTCATGCAGAATGATTTTTTTTCCTATTTTATTAAAAATACAAGAATATAAATTGGAAAAATGTACGATTTTTTTCAAAGAAATATATATTTTAAACCCTTTTCTGTTATGGAGTTTTTGGGAAGTTATTTACAATTTAAAAAATATGTATTTGAATAGGACAACCTATGTGGAAAATTTGAATGAGAATTTTATTGGATAAGTTCTTTGGTTTAGCAATGTGTGTAATTGAAAACCTTCGATACGCATTGAAAGATATTTATTTGAGAGGAAATATTTTTTGGCGGGCGGGGAAACACAAATGTTTATAATGGAAGCACATATGTATATAATGGAGTTCAGAAACTTCGCCATATTGGAGGGGGTACAAAGGATAGTTTTTATACCCATACCACCACATTTTTCTCAAGGATTAAAGCAAGTGTGGATTTTGTAAGGAATATTTATAAGGACCTATATATGCATGGATTTTAAATTAATATTATTGTAAGGACACATATGAGCGTGTATTTTTGAAAGAATATTCTTTTGAGGACCAAAACAGGCATGGATTTTTTTAAAAAAATATTTTTTAAGGACCAAAACAGGCGTGGATTTTTTAAAGAATATGTTTTCAAGGACCAAAACAGACGTGGATTTTTTAAAGAATATTTTTTCAAGGACCAAAACAGGCGTGGATTTTTTAAAGAATATTTTTTCAAGGACCAAAACAGGCGTGGATTTTTTACCAAAACAGGCGTGGATTTTTTAAAGACTATTTTTTCAAGGACCAAAACAGGCATGTATTTTTTAAAGAATATTTTTTCAAGGACCAAAACAGGTGTGGATTTTTTTTAAAGAATATGTTTTCAAGGACCAAAACAGCAGTGGATTTTTTAAAGAATATTTTTTCAAGGACCAAAACAGGCGTGGATTTTTGAAAGAGGATTTTTCAAGGACCAAAACAGGCGTGGATTTTTGAAAGAGGATTTTTCAAGGACCAAAACAGGCGTGGATTTTTGAAAGAGGATTTTTCAAGGACCAAAACAGGCGTGGATTTTTAAAGAATATTTTTTCAAGGACCAAAACTGGCGTGGATGTTTAAAGAATATTTTTTCAAGGACCAAAACAGACGTGGATTTTTATACTCTTCACCACACTGTGGTACAGGGTATTATGTATTTGTGCATATGTTTGTAAAATGCAAAAGGAAACGAGATAGACACATGGTTCATTTTGAGAATATGCATAGAATCACTTTCTGAGTCGATTTATGCATGTCCGACCAGCCGTCTGTTGATGTTAAATTGTAAACAAATTACAGGTCGCATTTATGATCCGAATTGGACGAAATTTGGCATAGGTCACTTATTTGGCCCAAGGACAAACCCTATTGAAATCGGTTCAGATTTTGATATAGCTCCCGTATATAGTTTCGTCAGATTTATATATTTCGCCCGATTTAATGTCAACGGTGCCTACATATATTTCGATTTGCACGAAATTTGTCACATCGTAATGAATTAGGTCTAGAATGATGCTTGTCAAGTTTCCTGAAAATCGGTTCAGATTTGGATATAGCTCCCATATATATTTTCGTCCGATTTAAGGTAAATGGTTTACCAAAGTCCCTATATATCTTTCGATTTGCACGAAATTTGACACAGCATAATGAGTTAGGTCTGATGTGTGTTAAGTTTCGTGAAAATCAGTTCAGATTTAGATATAGCTCCCGTATATAGTTTCGTCAGATTTAAGGAAAATGAGGCACCATAGACCCTACATATCTTTCGATTTGTAGGAAATTTGGTATAGCCTACTGAATTAAGTCTAGAATGATGTGTGCCAAGTTTCGTGAAAATCGGTTCACATTAAGATATAGCTCCCATATATAGTTTCGTCCGATTTGAGGTAAATGGTGCACCAAAGTCCCTTCAAATCTTTTGATTGGGACGAATTTTTGTATAGCGTACTAAATTAAGTCTAGGTTGATGTGTTCTAAATCGTGAAAATCGGTTCACATTAAGATATAGCTCCCATATATAGTTTCGCCTGAATATCATTGGCATATCTACAGATCTACAGCTAGGCCGATTGACACAACGTACTGAAGTTAATATAAATTAATCTCTGGCAAGTTTGCTTGAAATCTGTTAAGATATATATATATATATATATATATATATCGTAGCTTCCATATATAATTTCGACTTATTTGTGTTAATTGTACACCAAATAATCAATGGGTGTCTGATTGAGATTAAATTTTAAACCGTGTAGCATACCGAATAGCATCCGAATAGGTCCCATTGTGCGCAAACCAATCTAAACTTGCCCAAATGAAATGAAATTTAGCATAGGTTCCAGAAAGACATAAAAATCACATATTTAAGTTCGTTCAATTTCATGCCAAAATTCCTTCAAAAAGGCGATGTCTTTTCGGATACATATGTAGAACATACCCAAAGTGTTGAAGGGTATCATATAGTGGGCACAGTCCGACTTTACTGGTTTAAATATTTTTGCAACATTCAGTATAGACATTTCTTAAAGAATATTTTTTGAAGGACAAAACTAGAGAGGCTTTTTTAAAGAATGTTCTTTCAAGGACTAAAAAAAGGCGTGGATTTCTTAAAGAAGATTTTTCACAAGGATAAAAAATCGTGAATCTTTTAAGAAATATTCTATTTTTTCAACGAATAAAACAGGCATATATATTTTTAAATTAAATATGTTTACAATTAGTTGCACCACTTAAGTCTCCTTTTTTTGGCTTAGAAATATAACCACAAACTATTTGCTAACTACCACTTATGACACATTTGGCAGTGTCTTTTACCACCACAGAACATTAGTCACACACAGACACACACACTAAACGAAAAAATCTAACTATTTATGGGCCAAAAGCTTTTAAGACCATTGACTTTTCACCACCAATGTTCTGCACACATTTTGGAACTGGATGGATGGATGTTTGTCCCCAAGTAAAATATTTTACCACAAGTATGAGAATGTGCAAAGTCTTTGCGGTTATATTAAGCCTACTTAAATGTTTTTGGCTTTGCAGCAAAATAAATAATGACACATATGTAGTTCGGGTGACACAGTGTCCTGAGGAAGCTTTTCCAAAAGAGTGGGGTAACTGAAAAAAAAATTTAGAAAAATACATTTTTAAAAATTTATTTATTTGTGGATTATTAAAGTCCTATTTTTTGAAAAAAAATATTTGTTATGGATTTTTAAATCCTGGATTCTTTAAAAATATTTTTTTTGCGGATTATTAAAGTCCTGTATTTTTTAAACAATACTTTTTATGGTTTTTTAAAGGCCTGGATTTTTACCAAATATTTTTTTTCGTGGATTATCAAAAGCGTGGATTTGGAAAAAATATATATTATTTCTCAGAGAAATATATAAACCACGTGTATGTCTTTTTCCAAATAAATAGAGCAACCCAACTAAATTCAATCTCCCCCTTAATGTATTCCAAATGTCTCTTGAAATTCACTAAAAATTCCCAACTATTTCTTTAAAATTCAACTATTTTCGAAATGCTTCTGTTGCCGACTTTTTTCCATTTTGACCATTTAATTTTCCAAATAGAATTTCTGTGTCCCTATGAGTGTATGTGTGCATTTGTCTGTCATGAATAAAATATATATTTCCAGGCATATCCTATCAACATTTACGTGCACGTACACCGAGAGAGAGAAAAAATCAAACATTACTGGTTTATATACACACAGACATACCTACTGAAATACTAGATAACGGGTGCAATGGCAGTTGTACCGGCATAATAATTTGGCACAGAAAAATAATATTAGAAAAAAAAAACATTGAGACAACTAAAAATAGAACTGAAAACCTAGTAGCTACGCCAAGAAACAGACATCAACAATGAATACATCTTTTGCCACCGGAGGCCTAGCAAATCAACCAGTCTTCCCCATCCTTGGTCGTCGTTGGACAAAATTGTGTATGGCAAATCCGGTAGCAGAAGGCAGGCAGGCAGGCTGACAGTCAGGAAGGAAATTGATGTTGATTCACAAACCAAGACAAAAATTGAAAAAATAAAAAAACTCCTCTATGCCAAAAACAAATAAAAATAACATGGAAAATTACTTTAAATATTGAATGTTGTGTATTTTTTGTGCTTTATAAATTAAAGGAAATTTC